GCAAAAAACCAAAGCGAGGTAAACGGACACTTTCTCACCGCTCAGCAAAGCAAGATCGGAGTGAGAAATATGAGAAGATGCGGGTTTTTTTAGATGCGCTGATTGAAGATTGATTGATTAGATTGATTAGGTCGAAAATAAAGAGTCGCTAAAGTTGTTATCTAGATAACGACAAATTCCATTTCGTTTGCGATTTCGTCGTTACCATCGAGATTCCTTAGACCGCTAATCTTTCCGAGCTTTCTAGGATGGTCGGTGTTTGTGCATAATAAGTGTTGGTGTTTCTCTTTCAATGCCATAGACGTAAGAAGTTGCAACCGCTAAACCATCCTAACATCCAAAGCATGATAGTTGTTCATGCAAAGTCCTGATAGCGTAAACAACTATCGTGCAGCTTGAACAAAGGTGTTAGTTATCCAAGCTTATTCGGCCGCTAAACCATGACCGCTAGACCATGTTAGTTTCCGAAAATGATGGATGTTTGTGGGGTTGACGAGCTACGGTAAATAATTGCTTTATCACCAGCAGTATAGTCACCTTCGTTGATAACATCACTCAGATTCATCAAAAGCATGAGTGCTGTTCAACACAAGGGCCCGGCTGTGCTCATTTTTGTTACCGCCTATGTACTTTGACGCGCGGTAGCGAGCGAAGCCAAACTCATTAAACCGCTCAACTTTAGGATTTGCGAAGTGTGAATGTAAAGCAAAGATAAGCATCAGATCTCACTTTTATAAGGAGCATATTTCATTTTCATTCTAAGGCTAACAGCAAAACCCTAATCACCGCTAAATTGTCAGGATTCAAGAAAAATGCTGGGTGTTTACAGAGTTGTGATAAATATACCAGCTCAGCTTCGCATTCACGCGCATCCATGATGGACTTCAATGAAAGTGGAGAGCCTCCAACCTCAGGTCATTCCACTAACATATCCAATAGTGAGCTGCTTTGTGGAGTAGATCAGCAGATGTTCCACAGGTCCTCCAGTTTCGCTAAAGCCTACCGTGTTATGCGCGCGATAGCGGGCGGAGCAAAACTGGTTATGTAATAATACCAGTTTTGCTCCGCCCGCTATCGCGCGCATCACACGACAGGCTTTAGCGAAACTGGAGGACCCATGGAATATCAGCATGAGGTACTCCATTAACC